ATTAAAGATGCGATGTTTCAGTGTCAGGTTACCTCTCATCCTACGATACGACAAAACGAGAAGGTTTAGGCGTTTTAAGCGCTCAACGCAAGGGACTTTGGAAAGACTGTTCACTAAATGTGTTCCCACAGTCTTACATAGGTGGAATACATAATTTGAAATACCACGTCAATCATTTGAATGCTCAGCGGAGTGACCATAACGCACGAAACCCTTTGGCAGCTACGGCGCTGTAATGAATAATTATTTTCAAATCATGACTTAATATTACTCCGAAGTCTTTATGTTCCTGCACTCATGGAAGTGATGTACCGTCAATAACATACTAATAACTTATCATGTATAGTGTGCATGAGCACACTCTCTAGAATTAGCCTCTAAGCCCCAACATCGGGCCCATCTGGATAATTCGTCTAGGTCGACATGAAGATCAAAATGATCAACTCCACTTCTTATTGTTCTCCAGATTTCGACATCATTCGCAAACGATCATGTTGACGATTTAACCAATAGCGGTAATTCATCGATGTAAAGAAGGAGAAGCAGAGGATCTAAGATGGTATCTTAGGGTACATCACATATGACCGGCTTTCATTCGAATAGCGTTCGATCAACCCTCACTCTCTGTATGTGGTCTTATAAGAAGTTTCCTACCCATTTCTGTACAGTAGCTGTTATTCCGAAGCTCAAGAGCTTTTACATAAAACCTGAGTATGAAACCTTGTCAAACACTTTGCTAAAGTCTATGAATATCACATCGACAAACTGAATGTTGTCTGGGTCACTGTCCGATCCTCTCACACAATGAGTAAGTTGGTCAAACATGAATGCTTGTGTTCGAAACCCATGTTGCTCGGGAGTTAACAGACTGTACAATTCTATGAGATCTAGTAATTTAACCCGAATTATCTTTTCAAGCAACGTAACGACTATGCTGGTTGGACTAACAGGCCGGTAGTTAGACACGATCTGTCTCTGACCATCTTGACAGTAGCATCTCTCAAATCCCTAGGGAGTTGGGTAAGGGGAAGGGATATGTTGAAGAGCATCGCGAATGGTCTTGAAATAATGTCTGCGAGAGATGATAGCAATCGTGGATGGAACTTATCAAGGCCCGGTATCTTGCAAGGTTTGAGGTTAATAATCAATAGAAGAACAGTTTTCCCAGTCACATGTGTAGGTCCTATGGCTGGTATATCAGTGGTGTGACTAGGATAAGTATTTTTAACAGTGCATGTGGATTGCATTTCGAAGAAATAGTTTGATAATCTCAGCCCTTCCCAGATCTGATTCAGCTAGTAAATCTAAATATTCGCGCAACATTATTGCGGGGAACACCATCACAACGTTTTGTCCTCCATTTAACGTACGAAAACAGTCTCTCCGGACAAGTATAGCTATTATATACCTACTGTCTTCCGTAAATAGTACGCATTTATCTATGATGTTTTTGCATATATTCCAGATTTTTCGGTATTTACACTTAAATGATTTGTGTCTTGTCGAAAAGAATAATTCCCAGAAGTGTTTCCGGGTTCCCTTATCACTCCACGAAGGACAATGTGATAGCTTACGTGTTGGCCATGGGATAAACAGTGGTTACAGACTCGAATGTATCCTTAAACTTATTCCATTCGTCTTCGATCGATCCATCCCTATCGACTAATTAGTTTGTACACATAACAGTCTCTAATTGCCGGAATACTAGCTAGCCAGTTATTGGGACAGGATGGAACAGATAAATGTTGTATACCATGTGTCCGAAACCCAAAGTAAAAGACAACGTAATCACTATTAGCTGGTAGTGGAAGGTGCTGAATGTTGAAGATATCGCCACAGTGGTGTGTGAATACAAAGTCCAGAAAAGATAAACCATGTTCCGAATCAATGTGTGTCAGTTTTGCGACACGTTCTAAAAGTGTACACTGAAAAATGGTTGATAGAAGGTCGCTATTGAAATCCCTACCTGGAATTGTAAGCCCCATCCAGTTGGTTCGCGTTGCGTTGAAATCTGCGATGATGAGACAATATTTGGCCTTACACAAAGAACAAATGTATCTTAGGATAAAATAGTCAGCAAGACAACACGGATTACGGTATATTCCTCCTAAAGTCACTAACTCGTGTTTAGACTGAGTTATACAACATGCTACTTCACATGCGCCTCAGAGATGATCGATGAATGAAGGAATAGTTTACATCTACAACGAGTTACGTTTCTGTGCCAACAATTATATCGCGACCTGATTTACCAAACTTAGCTTTGACATTTTATTTTGAAAACTAGAGGCATTCGTATAGCACACATTTAAGATGTTTTAAGGATCACTAGTTCCACTCATACAGGTTTCGGAAGCATTAGCTTCTAAGACCTGACTATTCGAAACCCTTGATCGTAAGGTTCGTCTCGCCATTTAGCTTTCCAGTTTTTAATTTCGTAAGAGCATTCTTTCGTTTAATTCAACCCTCAAGAGGTCGATTTGGTCGAATACAAATATTTGAATCACGAGTCTTTTATGCGTTATCTAATAATACGCCTCTTTCTTCGAAATGCCCGAGCACCTACTTCAAGACTATTCTTGATTGGGTTTTACCTCCAACCCAGTCACTTGGTCTCATTACTTTCGTGACATATACCCCTGAAACCTCTTCAGGCAATACATTTCTGATGGCGGATTCCATTAACTCCAAATCATTTGTATGTCGTCTAGCAGGATCATTGTCTTTCGACTCCTCTAGATTCCAAATAACTAGACTGGCAACGGATTTAACTTCTTTGAAAGTTAGCTCCTGCCTATTAACTACTTGGAACTTCCCATTGGTTTTATTGTGCCTGAGTTGTGGGAGCTGAGCAAATGACTCACGACAATGTTTGCCGAGGCCAAACGTTCCCCACCCACTATAGGGTTAAATATTGTCCTGCACTGGAGCTTTGGTGAAGTAATCTGCAACACAGAATATGAGTTCATCAAGGACTTTGGAGCTAGACGGGCTCTGATTTTGTCCATCTTTCCTTCTCTTCAATGTCTTCGCACCATCCATTTCCCATCAGTCGCAGCATTCACATTAGAAGTACTCGGGAGGACATAAATTTTATCTGGGTTATCAATTGTTGCTATAACAACTTGGCCACCAGTATACAATGGTGTTTCACTCAATTGCTTCGAGGTAGAAATACCAATTGTATGTTACACAGACGGGTTTTGTTGACCCGAGATCTGCCTCTAATTAGATCGTACGGATGATTGTTGTTGATAATATACATATCGTCAATCCCCGTATATAATTAACGACTTAAACCACGTTAGTGAATAACGCAATTATAAATGCCAAGTATGAGAGCAGATTTTTGAATACATATATGTTATACAACTGTTGATCAAGACAAACAATTAAAGAAACGAAGCGAAGAAAGCCAAGAGAAGAGAACGAAGCGAAATAACGCTCAGTAGAGAAAGCGAGTGAGCCAACTCCATTTAATCAAGCGTTAACCAATATTTATAGCCAGACAAAAATAAGTTACGAACATGTGATGAATGGGGCAAGAAGTGTACACACGCATACGCTTTTATAAAAATATTCAAAGTTGATAGCCGAATATCTAACAAGGTCAAAATGTGACTTAACAAGAGTGGATAAATTGGCCTGTCCAGAAGCTAAAATAAGTTATATGAGCCTAACATAGTAATCGACACTACAGGGTGTCTGGTACATACAGTAACAGCACTCACAACACCGACACATTCTTCGCCATCAATACATAAGTTACCGATACAACCCTCATTAACCTTTGTGTTAGCCAACGCCAGAAAGTTAATTGCCTCTTGGATGAGTAAGTTTTTGCTCGAACAAGACATACACAGCAAATGGGAATTAGGTCTTTGAGCACCTTTCATATGCAGGTGAGTTTAAGTCAGTACGCATCCTATGGAATCACTTCTTACACTCATCACATTTCATTCCTTCCTCCACATGTAATAAACAGTATGGTTGTCCACATTTGGCGGCAGAACCGACCATCTTAAAGATCGAGCAAAAATGGTCGCACAAAAATGGATTTGAGAAACGTTTCAAACCTTGGCCGAAAAAAATCAAGTCAAAGTCGACCAAGTGTGCTTTGATAGCCAATAAACATAAGGTTAGAATAAGTACGATTTTTAAAATAAACTGCATCTGTTAGTCCCAGTGACCTGAAGATTTGGAGATCCCCACATTTATATACTTCATGACCCTATAATTCTTTAATGTTATATGAATGCAATTTTAATGCTAGTGAGTATAAACCCATTGCACTATAGAACCGGTCCAGATAGGAGGAATGAAACAAATATTCTGAGCAGCCACATTAAGTAAACGAGCCCATTACTTTTTGTGTTAGCTATCGGTAAATATCGGTCAAGTAGCACAGTGACAGCAGTAGTACTCATATACATCGAACTTTAATAGACCACCATACGTGCTCGTTGAAGATAATACAATTAGGAAACCCTAAATCATTTATAAAATAATGGGACCCCAGCATACGCTTTTATAAAAATATTCAAAGTTGATAGCCGAATATCTAACAAGGTCAAAATGTGACTTAACAAGAGTGGATAAATTGGCCTGTCCAGAAGCTAAAATAAGTTATATGAGCCTAACATAGTAATCGACACTACAGGGTGTCTGTACAGATTAACGTGCAGAACACACAGCTTCCAGGTGATTCATACATATTGTTTCTATTTTGACACTGAAATTCTGAACTCAACAACTAACAGCAAAATATTAGGGGCTCATATTCAAACGGCATCTCAACCTCTAGTTCAGTCATGAAGCGCAAAAATAAGATTAACATCCACATGAACTTCAAGTCAAACACACCTGCAAAACGGCACTCGTTTAACTGCAATGAACACGCAAACCAAGGACTCAATCTTATCTACACGTTATCAAGAACCAACAGGTGATTGTTATTTATTAACAGGTATATTTTACTGAAATTAAATGCAAGTAAATGTTTAAGACCATCCGCCATACCACTGGCTGGCTTTGCCTCCAACATGCTCTCCAGATCCCATACTTCCATACCCACCATAGGTGCCGCCACGGGAAGCACTACAAGGAAAACAAACATTTGTTAGGAAAAGATTGTGATCTGGGAACGAGGGAGTAAACAATAATCCAACTCTGCAGTAGCTAGGTTACGGCAAGTGCCGCCTTCTCTGCTTCAGTCCGACACACACTAGTAATACAGGACCATGTGGCGAGCCTTGAGCCACACTATTTTTGTTAGGACTATCTGTACCACTCGGTTGCCCGAACCGATGTGGGTGAGTCGAAGTTTGAATTTCAGACCCACTACAAGTAGTCTCTCCGCCCACGACGAACCCTGATACCTCTCGGAGCTCCATTCACAGCCAGCATTGCCAGTGGGTGCACTTCAATATAGGCAACCCCGTTCTGTAGAAATTAATGTGAAGCGTACTCCTTACAACCTAGGGCGGCTATTCTTAGCAACTATGTGGATTGTGACAGACCGGCTGATTCAATGGTGGAGCATCTGACGGTTGACCGAGGTTCCAAAAACAACGATGGTCCCCCAGCTGTTACCGCGTGTATGATTCCCGAACCAAGTTGAACAATAGCTCGGGGTGAGTTCTTTTCACGTAGTCAACCCTGGGGTACACAGCTGGATCCTAATTCCTATAAACTACTTAAACTTTCACGAGTTTCGGTCGCTTAGTGTTGGGTTACATAGTATAATATGAAATGACTTACCTTTGACCACCTGCCATGTCAGCCGATCCACGCTGGCTTCCACCATACCCAGACCCACCGTAACCTCCAGAAGCCATGTTGCCTGATCCACCGTATCCAGGGCCGCTGAATCCTCCCTGTCCAGTTTGGTCAATGCCTCCGTATACTCCGTTGTCGAATCCTCCTGACCCGTCATATCCACCTTGACCACCGTAGCCTCCGTCTGCGGAACTACTATAACCACCTGGAGGACCCATAGAGTTGTTACGACCGGCAGGAGGGGGGACAGGTGCTGGGCCTGAAGAGCCCATCATTCCTCGCTGGCCTTGAGCGAGAGGCGCGCTTCCACTCATCATTCCGCCACCGGAGCGAGGTCCTCTACCACGACCTCCGGGAACCGGTCCGCCGCCCATAGGACCCATTCCTCCACCTGGTCCCATCCCTCCTCCCATAGGGCCCATACCGCCACCCATCGGCCCCATGTCTCCACCACCCATCATGTACGGACCTCCCATGTTATAACCCATCGGCGGCATGCACCCAGGTCCACGGAGAGGCATCCCTTGAGCGAGTGCTGCTGCAGCTTCTCGAGACAACCAACCGCCATAGTTGAGAGCATCACCCTCACTGAAGTTGGCAGCGTCATAATCCTCACGGCGACCACGAGGAGGAGCAGACTGAAAAGTACAAAACATAACATTGTCAGGAGCACAAACAACACAATAAATACCAAGCAGCTGCTAATACTATATGCAGTGAATGCACCCACACCACAAAAGGTCAGCCAAAGCATTCGAAGGCGTAACACAACACTCAGATGTTAGTGCAACACACCGTTCGTCAATACTCTTAGTTTTGGAAGTATGACTGCTTACTGACACCGCAAGTGTGGAGTGCAATTGGTTGTCGATAGGGTCGTGACAGTACGACCATAGGACAACAGACCCAGGTTTGTGGTTATCAATGATTTGATTGTGGGAGCCGATTGGGGGGCAGAAATGACCGAGCTAAACGTATTTACTTACCTCTACTGCTTCTATTACAGCTCTCAAACATTGGACGACATTGTCTGGGTCAGCAACCATCTGTACAACTCGGTCAGTAGATAACGGAGCCAACATCTGGTACACCTTGATAACACGCATTTTGTATTTCTAAATTTCATGTTTTAGCAAACGTCGACAAACTTACATCACGAAGGTCCTTAATACGTTCACCGCCTCGACCGATTACAGACCCAGCTTGGCTTTCGTGCACTAATATTCTGAAGTCAATCATGTTTTCGTCTTCCTCATCATCTCGTTCTGGATCTTCACTTCGTCTCGGGCGGCGTCGAGATCCTTGAGCACCCATTATGCGTTTAGGATCGGAAAGTTTGGCATTCATTATATCCTTTGAAGTCAATTTTAGTAAGTTCACCTTACCTTCAGTTTCGGACAAACATCGCGCATGATGCTGCAGATAGCCTGCAGGTCACCTTCGATAGTCATTATCCTATCGGAGAAAAAGCAAGTTAGGATGGGAAAGAAGGAAGAAAACAAAAACTTTAATCGTATAACGAAGCTCATGACACCCTTCCATATAGTGACAGTCGTGGAGGGCTTGGAGAACTAGACAACCGTCTGAGGGTTATCATCAAAACTTGTCTAGATTTTTACACAATAGAATTCAATGAATGACTAAGTCACTGGGGTTTCCAGTTACAACAGTAACTCGTGGGTTAGCTGGTAGTTAAGCAGTCAGGAATGACTTTGCAAATCATATCCAAAAAGGGCTTTACAAATACATTAATGAACCAAAAACATGAAAATAACAATTTAGGCAAACTAATTAATCGACCGAATAGACATCAAGGTGACATTAAGTTTCTGGGTTACCCTACCGTTCAGGGCCTCTGCTGTCGGGAATATTCAGCTTGACGTTATACTGAGACAATAAATGGGATAAAGCAGGGCCGGTTTCAGTGAGCCAGAGTCATCAGTTTGAGAATAAGGCAGGCATGTGGTACCAACCCAAACCATTGGGTTATCAGAGGAGATTGACCAGATTCAGCGAGTAAGTGTCCGGAAGGTGGAGGAACCGTAAAGAATATAAAACAAAGAATCGAGTCAGTTGGTGCCAAAACAGCGATTGAGCAAGTCACTAAATGAATTATGAAAGAACAAACCTGTGATCGAATTTTTTTGATATTTTCCCCACCCTTCCCAATCATTATCCCTGCAGCCCTCCCAGGAATAAGAAATCTGATGGAAACATTTGTTAAATCAACGGAAGAACGTTGGAATTTCGACGGAGGACCATCTTGGTTGTTTCCTGAGTTGTCCCGTTTCATGGCGGCTAAGGCGAATGGCTACCGGCTGAGTGGTAAGCAGACAAACAAACAGGTATATTTAAACACCATTCAACATAAAGTTGTTCAACAGCTCAAATAAAATGTAATGAAAAATTCCAGTTAATTTTTACTTTATGTATTGTCTAATTGGTTAGCTTATGAAATGGTCCATTAATGAATTTAATTTAATCTCCATATGTTACTCTCATTTACGTTCAATATCATTTCATTTTGCATGATCTTACATTGTCTTTATTGGTAAAGTACTTTCATATGCGACAGAGTAATACTTGTTATCGTTATTTTAATAGAAATGTATAACTTTCTAGGTTGTTTCTTCACACTGCCGTGGCTTAATGTTGAAATATCAGATTTTGTTAGGGTGTTAGGAAATCTTGACAAAAAATCTGCTCTTATTGTTATTCTCTGATTTGGAGATTGTCATTAGTTGCATAATCATGTGTATATTTTATTCTTAAATGAAGAAACTTAATAAACGTTTTTCAAACCTTAAAATAATACTAGAGATATGACAGGTAGTCATAGTTTGACAACGTTTTTACACGTGACACTTTTTTTGATTGAATAATACTAACCCAATTAAATCAGAAGTCAGAAATGAAAGGGTTTGAAGATATATTTGGAAGGCTATTGATATGCTAAAAAGCATTTGGTTTAAGCTGACTAGCAGTTACAAGGGATTCGCATCACGGAGTACTCTTTCGTGATCTGGTACGAATGCGTGACCGAACACCTTCAGACAGCATGTGTCCGGTAAACTAGTGTGGTCAACATCATTGTCAAAAACTTACTCAATTTATTTAATGCTACAATACTAATACTGAGCCGTGAAATAAGAGATCATGAACTTTTCAATTCTTTGATTAAATCCTTAAACACATTCAGCGAGGTTAAGGGATTCAGGTATCACAAAGCTATATGAACACAGACTTACGGATATTATAATAGCAAAACTTTCTAGCCAAATATATAAATGTGAATAATTGAGTGATATGTTGGTTTGCACCTTACCTAACAAGTTTTATGACTGAAACCCACTGAATATATAGAACAAAATAGATGGTCTTTAATTACTGACTTCTTCTAGCTTTCAGCGATCATAACTTAAACAGAAGAATTCTCCAAACCAGTAAGATTAGAACAGTAACAATTAATTAATTTCTTATTATTTATAGTTGTCCTTGTGACTATCAGATCATCTGATAATTTATAATATGTTAAATGTGGTTATACTACTTAAATTGTTTTAAGTAACTATGTTTCTATCACAACATTTATCAATATTCTGTTCAGTTTGAGCAAAAACAAAGATTCAGTACTGTTAACCGATGTGTGTACGAACCTTTAGATAGACAGTACATCCCATGCCAAAAGAATACATCTCTTTTAAAATTGTTAAATATAAATCAACTTCTCGGAATATATTACAACATGAGTGTTACGGAATCTCTTGAAAGAGTTCTTTGCGACCATTGTTCGTTGTAATAAAAGTCACAGGGTAACACAAATGTTTTCACCATAGAACAAACACTACATAGATTCCATCTGTGTTTTTTAATGATACTTAGAAAACACATGTCATGCAGCAAAGAGTCAAGCAAATAAACAACCAGACGAACATTCAAGTAGGGGTGCAATTAACAAAAATAAGGTATTGAGACGGCAGAAAGAGGAGAAATTCTTCCAAATATTGACTACAAATGAAACAAAGAAATGTTAGTCTCTGGGATAGTAACTAAACATAGATGTATGTCTATGTCATTAAAGTGAACTTGGAAGCCTTATTGAAATAAACTATAATTAACTGAATATACTTTCTTGGACTATTCATTCAAATGATTCAAGAAACCATCTGTTAAAAAACTATACTAACCAATATATCTGATCGCATACACATATGATAATTTTTAAATATAAATGGGTGATTGTATAGATAAATGTGTAAGTTGAATAGATAACTGTGTTTGGTTAATGATGTAGTAAAATTTAGACAGAAATCTGCCCCCCCATACCCTGGTATGGTCGAGGGTGAGTAGAGTCAGCTCTCCCTCTCCAAATGCTCTCACATGGCCACATGCATACAACCACTGTCAGGGAAGTCCTACTTACTGTCTTCTCGTGGTGAGGATGTTGTTTACGAAATTGAGAGGAAGAAAAGTGGATGTCCGGCGCTTTAGCCGGTTTGGTGAACGCAGTTGGTTCACTTAGAGGAGTTGGAAAACTCTGATTTCAAACCAATAGTGTACATGGACTCGAGGGTCCTAAAGGAACAAATGGTGTATGAACCGATTGTTGGTCACCGTCTACCATGAGACTGCATCTCTTGACATTACTCTACTGCCTTGTGGATCAGACTTTTAGGTCAAAGGTTCAGGGTGTGACCCACTAAGAAAACTACCTTCTTCGGTTTAAGCCCGCGGACAGTATTTCAGCCCTCACATGAACCGAATGATTTATGTGGCGCATATCTATGTTGGTGCCTCCTTGTACCAATATTTATGTGTTCAAATCAATAAATATAGAGAGTGAATTTTGACTTTAACAATTATAAATCTGATATGAAAATGGAGCAGGATTCAATTCAAACTTTGTTAAATTCATTAACTGACCTAAGATAATAATCACTGGAATAATAAACTTAAAGTTAATGATACTACTAAATGAGAATTTAATAAGTAGTCAGGTCATTATGATTTTAAATTTTTAAATTTCTGAGAAAAATTACGGTGATTATTACATATGGAGTGAAGTTACTTACTTCTATATACGTCATCATATTGAAATGATTAATTACATAATAGTTTGGATTATTTACTTAGAACATGTCTTATGTATTATTAAGTCATTTGTTTACAAGTAAAGATGGATAGTGGCTATCAGTGTTATCCAAGATGTTCATTTCGCCCTATTTAGAAAGATTCAGATAAACAATATAAAACGAATTTAAACTTCATCCGATTGTACAAGCTAGTGGGTATCAAGACTCAGTAGCTAAGTGGATAACGTGATAGAGTTTGAAGTGAACGGTATTGGGTTCGAGTTCTGGAGTGAACATCAACTCTAGGATGTGGTAAGAACATCCAGTTGACGAGTTTCAAATAGGACGAAACGTTCGTCGTGGATTTTGATGCTAGCCACCATCCATCTTTGCTTATAATGCTTGTGACTTAAAGCAATATGCCAATAAGAAACTGATCAATTCCAGTCCTAAACATCAATGAGAAGATTCAAATAAACAATACAAAATGAATTTTTGTTTACATGTTCAAAAAGGATCATCATAACTATGGTAGCTTAATTTATCAAGAGTTGGAACATTCAAATTTCCCATAATATTCAATTTACTTTACTGAATAAACATTATCTAAAGCACAATTATCTTTCGATAGAGTAATGAGAAGGCGGAGCTGATCTTTAAAAAATGTGATGTAATTGAGTGATACATTCCGAACATTGTGGTCACACATATACTGGTCAGGACAAGAAAAGATGGATAGTGGCTAGCAGTGCAATCCAAGACTCGCGTTTCATCCTATTTAGGACTCGTCAGCTGGATGTACCTGCATCTCAGAGTGATTTTCACTCTGGGACTCGAATTCAGTACCGTTCACTTCAGACGCCATCGCGTTATCCACTTAGCTACTGAGTCCTGATAGCCACTTGCTTGTGCAATGAGGTGAAGTTTTAGATTCACTTAGTTCTGTTTACTTGAATCGTTCGATTGATGTTTACGACTGCAATTGATCAGTCTCTTATTGGCATATGGATATACTGTGCGTATTGCCTTAATTCACAAGCATTACCGGTCAGGACATTTTATATAGAAATTAATAAAGGTCAATTAAATGACAGTTCAAGTAAACATGGTAATAAAGGGGAGAGAGACATTATTTTACATCGTATAAAAAGAATAAGAAATTGTCGCATTACCACATTAGGCCATAAAATGGCTTAAACATTACCAGAGTAAATCCAAGGTTATGACAAATTGTTTTTTTACATATAAGGCGGAGGGGGGGGATAAATTTACGAATAGCTAAGGCTTCTGTGAACCTGAGAATTCATCCTTGACAATTTCTATGCAAAATTTTTGAATATGCAATAATGTCAATGCTGTGTCCCGTTTCAATTATGTGGTTTGTTATGGATGAATATGGTTTTCTACGTCCCACGTCGATCGCAACACTTGACACTAACTGGTTTTGAAGCCGTGTAGGCACATATTCAGTGACCCTTGATTGAAGTGTTCGATTACTCCTCCCATTTTATGTGTCCCCAAATTCATGTAAATTAGCAAATGTAATCACATGTAACTTAATCACTCGTACATTGTCTAAGTCTATTTGGAATAATGTGCTCAGTCAATCACAACCAATTTAGCAGCATAATAGGTTTTCTCGATGGCTGTTTTCAATCTCTGTCTTAGAAACATGCTGTTAAATTTGCCTCTATATGGTAGATAGATATAAACAGTTTTCTTCGGAACAGAATAAACAAGATGTTTTAGGGTTGACTGACTTTTGCACCTATTTATAAACTTTAGTGGATAACCGTTTGATATTAGTGTGTCAGTCAGCAACTTTTCATCTTTTTCAACCGTATCTGTGATGCATATTCCTTGAATCCTATTAAAGAGGTACTTAACCAAATTGAAATAGACAGAAACTGTGGACATTTAAATATTGACCAGTCGAAGTTGGCTTCCCATAAATTAACTGTCTTATATTTCCATCCTCTCTTCGACTCAAAAGTATGTATAAAAAGGAAAATTGGTTATTACTTTCTGCTTCATAGGTCATTACGTTGTTGTTCTGTACGCCTTTGAGTTTATCTAATAACTGAGAAACCTCAAAATCTTTATCACATACAACTATAACTATCATCCATGTATCTCCTATACAAAGTTACCTCGCTGACGAGCTCGCTTGTCATATTTTCAACAATTATCTTTGATTACTCCATTTTGACAGATGAGTGTACTCAGCTAAGCATGATAACCAACTGAAGCCTGAAAAGTTTTATACTTAATTATGTAACGTAACGATTAATCACATTAGCTACTATAAGTCTCCTTTAAGTCTTAAATACTTCCAGATGATGAGCGTTAGCAAGCATTAGATCTTATTTTCGAATTGCCTGGAAACAACTAACAACCATTGAACACCCTTAATCATGTCAGATTGATGAAATCGTTTTTCACTATTGAGACATACTATATATAAGTAAAGAAAACTTTGGATGTAATTGTGGTGATCTAATTTTATGAAGAGAACGCGATTAGTGTCATGGAAACATTTATTATTATAGCCAACTGTACCAGTGGTTGTTTTACTGTATCCTTATGTTTAATTGTACCAAAAACAAACTTTTGTGACCATGAACTTACTCACCTACGCAGTCTCGCCTATAAACTTTGGCACGATCTCGGTATTATTTCGATACCACGAGATCAACAACAAATATATCTTAACTACAATCTACAACTGTCCTTCTAATATTTATCCTACAGAGGGTTTTAACCTGGTAATTGGCACGTAATCGATCTGTAATGGTGATCATAATCAACTGCGACACAAGACTATCACAAAATCAATCATTAATAATTCGTTACCTTATTAGTTAAGTTATAGCTGTTGACTGTAATACTAATGAGTATTTTGAAGCTGTTCGAAAGACTTCATCAGGTCTTGTAACTAAACTGAAGCAATCATGCTCAATTTATGTATGAATATCATTATTATTATTAGTGTAGGATACATTCATTTTTACATAAGTATTGGAAATTTGATGCATTTCATTGATAAATAAACAGCCCCCTCGTTTTTTCTTTTAGATCAAAATAAAATCGTATGATAAATATTTTTGCCTTAGAAAATTTACTAGTTGAATTCATTGGTCGATCTAAGGTAGACCGTCATGCAAAACTTGGAAGCATTGGACGGCCGTTTCGTCGTAGTATGGGACTCCTCAGCAGTGTACACCAACAATCTGATACTAATGGGAGTCGAACCCAGAATTTTTGGTTTCATGCGTGAATGCTTAATCTTTAGACCCCTAAGTCATTATCCGACGGTGTTAATATCCAACTTCAATTAATCCACGAAATTGTGACACTGTCCACTATTGTCTTCAATGAGTTATTATCTCACAGCAGACATGGTTGAACTCCACTGGTCATGACTTCTGTCTAGAACTCCAGTAAATCCGTGTTGAAGCCAGTCACTAATGAGCACACGACGAATATTATAAGAAGGCTTTTTTTAATTCCTTAAAGCATTCTCTTTGATTAAATGTTTATAATCACTACTATTCGTAAAAACTAACATTAATGTATTATTATTATTCTTCGATTCTGCGATACAACACATCACACACCAATTAAATCACACTTGACGGAAAAGCTTTGGAGAATGTCAAAACATTTACATATCTGGGCACCATCATTGATGTGCACGGTGAGTCTGATGCAGATGTGAAGGCACGGATCGGAAAAGGGTAGCATATCTACAACTGAAGAACATCTGGAACTCAAAACAATTGTCAACCAACACCAAAGTGAAAATTTTCAATACAAATATCAAGACAGTTCTACTGTGTGTGGGGCGAAAACTTGGAGAACAATGAAAGCTATCATCCAGAAGACACAGGTGTTTATTAACAGTTGTCTACACAAAGTACTTTGAATTAGTTGGTCAAACATTATCAGCAACAACCTACTGTGTGAGAGAACAAATCAGATTCCAGCGGAGGAAGAAATCAGGAAGAAGTGCTGGAAGTGGATAGGACACACATTGAGGAAAGCACTCGACTGCGTCACATGACAAGCCCTCACATGGAATCCTCAAGGCTAAACCAATCAAAAGAGGAAGACCAAAGAACACATTACGCCGGGAAATGGAGATAGACATGAGAAAAATGAACAAGAATTGGGTAGAACTAGAAAGGAAGGCCTAGGACAGAGTGGGTTGGAGAATGCTGGTCTGTGGTCTATGCTCCACTTGGGGGTAACAAGTGTAAATAACTGAGCATTATTACTATTAATATTAATGTAGGATACATTGGTTTTTACATAAGTATTGAGAATTTGATACATTTCATTAATAAATAAACAACCCCCTCCTTTTTTGTTTTCAGAACAAAATAAATATTTCTTTTTCTTTTTCAAAGAAAAAAGAAGAAAAACAAAAAAGGTAAATAATAAATCTAATTGAAATTTGAGTAATTTTAACAAGAGAGGGGAGAGGGGAAGAGAGAGGGGGGAGAGAAAAAGAAAGAAAAGAAGAAAAAAGAAAGAAATGTTTGTTCAATCAACAATGTTTTCTATTTACTTATGATAAATATGTATAAATATTACTGAATACTTTCTATTTTAATATTTAACTATTTTAACAAGAGAAACAACAAAAACAAAGAGAGAGAAGAAATTAAAGAAAAAAAAACTTTATTAGAAAATCAAGATGTTACCAGTTTCTATTGTTGGAACAACTTTATTACTTATGATCAGTTCACAATTCATTACAGGTTAGTGTATTCTAATTTAAGTTATATGTATGTTTCCAATGAAAACTAAATTGTAAACTTCATGTTGTAAAGTGAAAGATGAATAAAATGTTAATCGTTAAGATCATGAGTCAATTGAAGCTAGATCACCTCACGAAGTGAGGGTCATGGATGTTCATTGCTGAGGATAAAACGGCCATCCAGTACTTTCCAAGTTTTCCATGGTGGTCTAGTTTCAATTGATTCATGATCTAAACTATTGAAATTAGTACAATTTTCATAAAATCACTTCTGATATGAATAAAATAATGTGGATGTAGATGAATTATTATTATTATTATTATTATTATTATTATTATTATTATTAGCCTTATTCAATATTATATTATTGATACAATATAGAATTCTCAGCACAAAGTATTTCAACAAGTTTCCGTTTCTTTCTTCTTGGTCGGTCCTCGCGATAAATACTGAGTGGTCGCCAGCTAGATGTTATCAGTCCAGTAAATGAACATGGGAATGATGTACATTCTTTTCGTTGTATATTGTCAGCAACCATATTCTCTCTTTTTGAGCTTTTTGTAACTTTGATAACGAAAGGTTGTACATTTTTCAGAAACGCAGCAGAATAGGTTGTGCGATTAATAGACATAATGATATATTAAAACAAACAAAAATAGATAACTAGTTGAAATATCTAGATGGCAGGAACAGGTAGCCCAGATGCTCAAGCAGGCCGCCGATGGTGGTGTCATCTTAACATTGATGGTTATTCCAGAAATCGCATCCAGTATTTTATATTTTAAATGAGTCTACACTAAATGATGAGTGAGACTATAATTTATGGATGCCATGTTAAAGTGATCTTGAGAGTGTCCACCTAATAACCAGAACTAAGCGACGGTTATAGACATGTGTCAGCAATTCGAATTATAATTTACAGTTAATGGTTAAGGTTAGGAATTACATTTGAAGTTTTCATCATGAATTGTCATCAACTATAATGCCAAAATTCTATTTAGCCAAATAGATTGGTGGATTTTGAGCCAAAATTCGAGACCTGTTATCTTATATCTGATTAGTTCGTCCATAAATTATAATCTCGCCGAATGACGATATGCCAAGTGAAACTGATGAAAATTCAATTAAAGTATCAACAACGGAATAATTTAAACCATAATAAATCATGTTAGAATTTATAAACCGTTGTATTAGTAACTTTGTGTACTCAGTAGCTAATTGAACAACGTGTTGACATTTAAAGTAAAAGATACTGAGTATAAATGTCGGCATAAATGTCAACTTCAAAATGTAGGTACATCTATGTAACGAAACCCTAATAGGATAAAATTAACGTCTTGGATTCCATTACTACCCAGTTACCATTCATTCTATAAACCAGTAAGTGTTTCCCTAGGGATAGAGTTTTTCACTAAACCATTCTATTCAAATTTGATGGAATAATGAAATCCGAAATCAATAAAAAGTTGGCTGAGTGATTTTATTTCTTTAATTTTTCTTCTTTTTTTAACTAATATGAAAATGACGATAAGATCTATTGATCAATGTTTAGAAGAAGGAATCCGAAATCTTATCATTCTACAAGATTCTTATAAACTTTTTTTGATGGTGTTTTGTTCTCTGAGCTGAATGGTTTAGTCATGAAGCTGATGATATCATCCAGAAGAACAATGAAAACTCGATCAAAATCATTCATCTGAGTTACAGATCTTCTCCACCATTCTTATCATCTTGATCAACTCATCATATTTGCCTTCATTTCTGCACATTGTGTTGACATCTTTATCAGGTTACTTTTGATTTAAAAGTATACAATAGATGACCAACTAAAATCCTTTAGTTTAAGCTTAGAATTGGTTCATTTGAATGAAAACATTACGAAATCATCATCCTTCATAGAATTAATATGGGACTATATTTTACATTATCTGAGGCAAACATTATCATAGATTAGGTACGATTATCGGTCAACTAGATTATGTCTCAAATATTCAGCATTCATCTATGGTATTATTAACATGAATTTAGAAACAGGAGTTAATGCTGATATTCAAGATAAATTTGACTAAGCCATATGAATGCTTCTACCTGAAGTTTGTGCTAATGATATCGTTTAGAAGAAGCTTCACGACTAAACCATCCAGCTCAGAGAACAATGCTCCATCAAAATATAAATGATCATTCGTGATAAATAGGCAATAAATATAGGTTTCCAATTGCAAAGGGGGAGCACCAACATAACAAAATTGATTCAATAAAGTTCATTCTATGAATTTAAGATTCAAGAATAGTTTATATACTGCATAAAAGGAAGATTACAATTGATTACCATAGTTGATTTATCCTGAACTATTAAAGTTCATTTACTACTTACCTTTTTATGACTAAGACATAAGAGTAAGTTGGATATACATAACTTTATTCCATTGAATGTTCATATTCAAAACCAGAGTCCTGTGTATATCCACGATTTAAAGTTCGTTTTTCTCACTGGCTAACATGATTTCAAAAAAGAACACTAAACAGTAGTTCTCATACTCTTGAATGAGAAATGAAACTTAAGTTTTCAAATCATTTAACAAAGAGAATAATATTCAATCATTAAGTTAAAAATCAATAATCGATATTTACTTATTTACTTACGCCTATTACTCCTCGTGAAGGAGCATAGGCCGCTCACCACCATTATCTATTCAACCCTGTCCTGGATAATTCTTTCCAGCTCTTTCTAATTGTTATTCATCCTTTTCATATGTCATACTATTTCCCGACGTAGTGTGTTCTTTGGTCTTCCTCTTTTCCGTTTCCCTTCAGGATTCCGAGTTAGGGTTTGCCTCGTGATGCAGTTTGATGATTTGCATCATGTATATCCTATCCATTTCCATCTATAATTCCTAACTTTTATTGATTATTGATAGATATGGTCATTTTATTTGTTGTTGTTGTCAACATGAACCTACTATCCAGTTTACCTATATATATATAATGTTTATTAATAAATATCTTGTACAGGTTTCGGTAAGTTGATATCTCAATTCTTTTCTAAAGCATTTTCACACAAGACTATTTATCAAAAATATAGGTGTATATGGTATAGAATGAATATGTATTCAATTTCATTTCTATCATAATTACCTTAAAGGGAAATGAATGGATAGTTTCTATTCAAAAAGATTTCGTCTCTACTTCATCAATAAGTGTATACTATTTCTGGTGTTCAATGATGTCTGTTTATATCGTCACATTTATCAAAAGACTAGTGAACTTAAAGAAATGAAGTAATCAGTTTGTTTAACTGTTACAGTTTCTATGTAATAGATTATATAATAATCATTACACTTAATCATTAACGATTACAGTAAAGCAGTTCGCTGGTAAATAGCTCCAAAACTATAGTATTTATACAATAAAGTTGATCAACTGTACTCATGAATTCACTTCAGTACTTCATACAGACTTCATAAATTCATCTTTCTTTATAACTTAATTCATTATCAAACATGTGAATCTCTATTCTAAATCATTTACATTCATATTCTAAAATCTTCGTCAGTTGTACATGATAGCGGAAATACAAAGTAAGTCAATCTCTGAATGTTAATGATCTAGAACTAAGTGATTTTTTTTTGTTTTTTTTCTGTATAACTTCAAGTTTATAGACTTCATATTACGTGTCTCGCATTCACGCGCGAGACTGATAGATCCTGGGTTCGAATCTCGCGAGGCAGTATCGTGGATGCGCATTGCTAAGGAGTCCCACAATAGGGATTAAATGCACGATCGCCCAGTGTTTCCAGGTTTATTTTAGACTGACTCATGAATTCATCTATTAAAATTACTATAATCTCCACAATCCCCCCCTTTCTAACCATAATATTTCATCTCACACAGTTATAACCAATCACTAACACTGAGCCAGGGGTAGAAATCAATAAGGGGAATTGTGTGCCTGTCTGTTCACAATCAATGACCTAACACATTTAGCTTCATTGTCACACATCAATCAACCCTTTGAAACTATATTAGATAATCTCCAAGATAATTCTTACTAGTCCCAATTTCACTTCATGCCAAGGAATCTCGACACAACCGAATATTCACAGAAGTTCTAATAACAGTAAGAAACTATCGTCAAATCAATGCAATTGAGAATAACAATAATTTACAAAATGTTAATTTAGATTTTGTCCAATAAGCAATTTAATCAGAAAGAGATTCCTATGGATACTATAGTAATTTCAATAGTTGAATTCATGAATCTAGACCTGGAAGCCACTGGACGGCTATTTCGTCCTAGTATGGGACTTCTCAACAGTGCGCATCCATGATCTCACCTTCCGGGATTCGAACCCAATCAATATATTAATCAGTTATCAGTTGCTTTTTCAATTTAAACATTTTATAAATAACTCTATTATTGTTTATATCAATTTTAGTCAAAAACCTGAAGAGTGAGTTATTTGTTCATTTCTTAAATCTGTTTCGGGAATTTCTAAAATTCAAAGAATTAAAAATATATCTATTAAATGATATGGCTATACACACTGATATTGGTTACTATCTAACAGTCATTTGTATAAATGTAGTTTAGTGTTAAAGGGAGAAGAGTAGATATGTCTTATGTTATGTAATGTCCAGCCAGTTATAATTTAATCTTTCTTCTGATAGGTTCATTGTTTACTTTATGGATTGATTACAGTTAGACACTTACTGAAGCCAGGAATCAATAGACAGCTGTTTTATCTTAGAATAGGGCTCTTTAACAGTATGAATCCAAATCTTAATTGGAAGTTGAACTCAAGATCTTCATGTATCATAACAACAGTTTAACCTTTATATCATTGTACTGGCATCCACTGATTTACATCTCTACCATTTAATCAATCTGTGATGTTATACAGGTCAAAAGATCGAGTATTTATTTACATTTACTGAATCGTTCAACAAGTTCAATTTGTCATAATCATTTAAACAACCACAAACGAAATAAGATGTTATTATCACCAGTTGGTATTAGCTATTAGGTAATACAAACAACATTTAATAGGATAGATTTATAAGCGATCGGGTTATACAAAACTGATTTCTGATTAATGTAAAGTAGGCTTATAAAAACTATTGTAAATAACTTTTTATAAAGTTGAATTCATGAGTCGTCTTAATCTAAATCACCATGAAAAAACCCGAAAACACTGAATGATCGTTTCATCCTAGTATGGGACTCCTCAGCAATGCACATTTACGATTTCACACACGGAACTCGAACCCAAGACCTTCGGTCTCACGTGTGAATACTAAACCTCTAGACCACTGAGCTATTATCCAACGGTGTTCATGTCTAAATTCAATCGATCCATAGTCTTGAGCAACCATGCCTATGCAGAAAAGTTAAATTAGTGAATAACTGAATTATATTTTTATCCTTAAGTAAACTGAATTGTTGTCATAACTCATTCTAGTTAGCACAAACGAACTTGATATACCTATACTCGGTGACACTCGAAATGAGTACTTTTCATCGTTTTGAAGACAATGCATTATCCATTGAATTAGAGAGTGTAGATAGTTAACAACTTATTCAATAGATTTGATACTTATATCCTTATTAATAAGGGTTTAGACTATTCTATAATTGATATCTTTTATATAAAATAAAATTTATTGATAATCTCTATCTTACCTTAGAATTCATAATTCATAACAAGTACTGCTTCAGTGTTGACGTAGATTTCCAGCAAGATGAACTGAAAGATTTGATTGAAAGAGAGAATGGACACTGAAGTTTTATGGTGTAAATTCAATCATGGAGATGAGATTATAATCGATCTTAAATTATTACCTCTCATTGATACAATGTAAAATGAGATTTCAGATAGGGTTTGCTAAGATGTTATATATATATATATACATACATGTATTTTAGATCACAATTTTTCCTTGCCCCGTAAGTCATTTTGTATGGAATCAGTAATGTTGCTATGAAAATAGAGTCCTTTAATGAAATGTATGTTATTAATATTGTGAATATCCACTTTAAATTCCAGTACTTCTTTACAAAGTCAATTTCATGAATCTGGTTAGATACTGTAAACTCTAATTATTCTAATTAAACTTAGTCATTATATTATATGAATGAACATTCAGATGTAGGTAGGGTAGATCAAATGATTGATTAAGGCAAAATTATAGAATTCTTCGGGGGAAATATGATAACCATATATTCAATACTTCATTTCATTTGTACATTTACTATCAATTATATCTTGTAAACTTTAACGTTCATTGTATTCCTGTTCTCTTCGACTCAATCTTCTCAAAGTTCTGTTATCAGACATTTCACTTCTAATTAGTGTTATATACTACTTATGTTTGTTGATATAAGTAGCATATATTACAATTACAGTAAATAATTGATAATCTTGAAAGACTAACTAAGTTGATTAAAATGTGTTTAATTTCTATAAAGATTTTAAAGTACTCAGTGTTTGTACTTTAATTAAATGATGTAATTCAGTAGTATATGTCGTATATCTGTTATTCTATCATTTTTACTGATGAACAGATGATAATTTATGATTTAAAATGTTCATTTTCAAATAAACCTTAGTGGAGTTTTCGAATTCAAACTCACTTTGTCTTATCCTCCTTACCACGTTTTTTAAATAAAAAAATGTAGCCGCTTAGTTGAACAGTCGTTTGAGATGGTCAGTTTTGAGAGATTACAGGTGATAAGATCAGTTTTAAGGGTGTGAATCATTAATATCATTTTATATAAAACTAAGTTCAAATTATTGGAAGAATTGAGAAAAGTGAATCGCTCATCAATCAACTGAACTCAATAACTGTGAGAAGAATAATGAATTAGACTAGGAAATGTTCTATTCGGATGAGAATTATCGATGTCAGTTGAATGCTTGAACAATATTAAGTAGTGAAATGTCTTCTGTGAATAATTCCAAGTACTTGTGAGCAGCTTATGGTTATAGTTGTAATGGAAGTAGTTTTTCAAAATATATATTCTTTTATAAATTATATGAAGTGTTATAATCTTAGACCTTAGTAACAGAAGTCAAGGATTTTTGAAGAGTCAAATGAATACTTAGACTCAGTTGTTCACGATCATTTTAAAACAACGTTATGGCGAGACTATAATTTATGGACGAACCACTCAGATATAAGATAACGAGTCACGAATTTGGGCACGGAATTCACTCATCCATTTGGCTAAATAGAGTTTGAGCGTTATAGCTGATGTCAGTTCGTGATGAAAACACTAAATTTAATTTTCCACCCTAACCATCAACTGTAAAGGAGCATTCCAACTACTTTATAACCCCCATTAAGTCCTAATTAGAAGTTGTTCACTCTCAAAGTCAATTCAGCGTCGCTAAAAGGTCGTCCATAAATTATAGTCTCACCCAACGTTATTCAACATCATATCAAATAACTTTGGAATAACTATGCAAAATTGAGTAATATTCCACAAAGCTGAAGTGAACATTCTTTGTCTTAATGAAGGTTGTGTTTGAAAGTTGCCAAATATTCATTTAAGTCCAGCCAAATTAATTTATGATTTTGACTAAAATAATTTAACATGACTATACTTTTCTTCCAATCTAAACTGGTAAAAATGGTTATCAATAGTCTATTCATAGAACAATCAAAGCATATCTATAGTATCATAGCAAGATTCGGTGAGACTATAATTTATGGACGGACCAATCACATATAAGACAACAGGTCTCGAATTTTGGCGCGAAATTCACCTATCCATTTGGCTAAGCAGAGTTTTAGCATTATAGTTGATGACAATTCATGATGAAAACCCCGAATGTAATTCCTAACATTAACCATCAACTGCAAATCATAATTCGAATTGCTGACACATGTCTATAACCGTCGCTTAGTTCTGGTTATTAGGTGGACACTCTCAAGATCACTTTAACATGGCACAAACGTCGTCCATAAATTATAGTCTCACTCAAGATTCGATAAATTATTCTCACTGTTCATATTTTCTCTACACTAGAATTGCGACGGCTATTGGGTAAGTTAGTTGAACATCCTTATAATCATTGATTTATTTTCTATTTGATCTTAAATATCAAAATTTATTCCTCTTCACTATATGATTTACTTAAAATCTGTCAAAGACCGACCTTTTCATCGTGGACTTTCATAAAATATATCTGTAGTTCAGTAGTGAATGAGAATGCCAAGTGGAAACATCCAAATGTATTTTAACATGACATTACAGAATATTTTGGTGAAATATGTGAACCATACAGTAAGTAGCTCATTTAAGAAATATCCATCAATTGTCTCAGAGTTCATTGTTTCTTCGCTTCTATACCAATCAGTCATTGTTCTCATTTCCTTCTCTTCGATCTTCTTAACTTTGTGCCACCTTGCATTCCACTTCCGATTGGTGATACATGCTATTTATATCTGTGGACATCAGTAGCACACATTACTATTCCATATACACATACGCACACTATAAATGCCATAATTAAATAACAGATTGTAGAACAAAGTAAATGAATTATATCTATGTTTATGATGGAACTTCTATGGAAGTCGGATGTACCACTGACACATAGATATCGAGTTAAATTTCCGGGAAATAACGTTTGGTTTTGGTTAATTTGAGAAAAAATCGTCGACCATTTGTATCTTCTTGTACCTATTTTAGGTATAATAACCACAACAAAAAATGAGATTTTATACCGTAAATGATCTCCGAACTGAATTAGAATTGTTTATTTGATTCATTAAATTGTAGTGTATTTAATAATTCAGACACATTTTGAAGTTTCTCCCACAACTGTAAAACTTTAGACAAGGAGATATTAGATACAAAGATGCATAGTAGCTAGCAGTGGAACCCAGGTTGCGCGTTTCGCCCTATTTGTAACTCATCAGACGGATGTACCTGCATCTCAAAGTGGATGTTCAGTCTGGGAATCGAATTCAGTACCGTTCGCTTCAAATGCCTGATAGCCACTTGCTTGTGCAATGGGGTAGAGTTTTAGTCCAATTGGTATTGTTTGTTTGAATCTTCGCACTGATGTTTAGGACTGCAATTAGTCAGTCTCTTATTGATATATTTACATCGTGTGCAGATTGCCTCAACATTGCCTTAATTCACAAGCATTATATACAAAGATGGATGAGTCCCAGAGTGAACATCAACACTGAGATGCAGGTCCATCCAGCTGACGAATCTCAAATAGGACGAAACGCGAGTCCTGGATTCCACAGCAAGTCACTATCCATCTTTGCACATAATGCTTGTGAATTAAGGCAATATCGAGGCAATACTCACAGTATGAATATATGCTTATACGAGACTGTTCAATTGGAGTCCTAAACATCAATGGGAAGATTTTAAAAAACACAATAATAAGTGAATTTATGAAGATAGTAGGTTCCAACGTTGGAGTATAAGAATAACCTTATTCAGTTTAAGTAATCTTGACCTTTTTCCAAAACCTCACCAACATCATTGATAATTTAAAGGAACAGTTTCGATGAAATGCATTACTAAATAGAAACAGTATTAAACTATGATGGATATAGTGTAGTTATTTCCAAAAGTCAACTACTTAAGATATATTCGAAAGGTGGATACATAGAATGAACACATTCCAGTAAACTTAAGAGGTCAGGGTTTTTTTCAATAAATTTCTGAGTATTTCTAATTAAAATTCAACTTAAGCCAAATATTGGTTAGTACTCAGAGATTAATAGGTATGTAGTAAATGGAAAAGACCATAGTGACAAATTTTAACAAATATAACCACTGGTGATTTTACTGGTTGGTTGATTGAAAGATAGATGAGACTTTCCTCCAATTTCATAAAATTAAATAAGTATATTTTTGATTAAGATCATGAATCGACTGATGTTAGATCATGATTGAAAACCTGGGATCACTGGACGGCCGTTTCGTTTTATTATGGACTCCTCAGGAATGTTCATCCACGATCCCGCTCGCGGGATTCGAACCCGAGGGCTTAGATGTCGCGCCCGAACACCTAACCTCTAGACCACAGAGCTGGCATCCATCGGTGTTAATGACTAACTTCAACCAATCCATGAAATCGCTCGACCATCTTCGATCGTACTGATGTAGATACACCTGTCTCTACGCGACACGGACTAGCTTCACTGATCACAGCTTCTCACTAGAACTTCCAGAATTCCCTCACAAAGCTAGTCACTACTGAGCACATGGCAATTATCAGTATGGTGGTCTAACATCAATCGATTCGTGATCTCATTCAAAAACTTAATAATCTTCACAATCCCATACTATCAAATGAATATGATCTAAATTACACATATTTCAACTGTATTATTATCATTTTTAGAACTCATTTGTTGACATTTTTAAATGGATGCTTCTTGGATATTGGGAATCTGAAGAAATTGATTTTCCCTGGATAAAAAACAGGAATATGTCGATACAAACAAAAGAAACTTCTGTTCAAGTCATTTTAAATTAAAGTGAAGCATCTCTTCTTATAAATAATAAATGTGTAAATTATACAAATCTCTTATTTATTGAACTGTATTTTGAAGGTAGTAAAATACAGTAATCACACATGTAATTAAGATTGGGCGAGACTCTAATTTATGGACAAGCCAATCAGAAGCGTTTTAGGGACTTCAAGGTTACGGCGCCAACTTCAGTGTTTAATGCTAACGTACGATTGGTTCACAAGGAATTTTGTACAAAACGTGATAATTGAGCGGCTATAACAAATAAAACGGCGAGACTATAATTTGTGGACGAATCAATCAGGTATAAGATAACAGATCTCGGACTTTAACGCGAAAGCCCTTCATCCATTTGACTAAATAGATTTCTGGGATTTTAGCTGATGTCAGTTCATGATGAAAACCCCATATATAATTCCTAACTAAGGCAAATTATGACAATTATCGAGAAGTGGATATTAAAAACACCCGTAAAACTGGCAGCAGCCATGTACTACAATATATTCGGATGTTTGGAGAGCGTGTAGACTCCTACATAGGCTTGGTTATGTGTATCGTGTCGTTATCCACAAGTAGCATTTTGTGTACTCAACAACCGTAGTGCACACAAACAATAATGAAAATATGTGGTCCAGGCTGAAAGAGTTTTTGAGACTTTATCATAGCTCCAGAGGCCGACTATTCTGTTACCGTATGGATGATTTCCTCTACTGCATGCATTACGATTTTGGAACCTCTTTCTAACTTTGAAAAGTTTTTGAACCACGTATAAGAAGTGTATCCACTTTATTTTTACTCTGTGCTGACTGTTTTCTGATTGACTAATATTTCTCAAAGTCACTTAAGATTCATCCAAAGGTTATCCATAAATTAGAGTCTCTCCAAAATTCCAGAGAGGAAGCTTTTGCTTGGACAATAAATAAGCTTTGAACAAACAATTGTGGTTATGAAATACACAATTACATGTAAATATATAATTCAGTTAATGAATGTGTTGGATAGTGAACGTAATAACAATACAAGAAATACGAAAATAGAAATTAAACCGCGGTAGAAGGTTTATTACTTTAGAATACAATACACAATTACACAAGGGTTATTTGAATAAATAAATGTACACGCTAGTAACTGGCTTCAAGATGATTTCTTGGAGTTCTAGTGAGAAGCCGTGATCAGTGTAGTCCAATCTATGTCGCGTAGAGACAGGTATCTATCTTAGACAAAGGATGTATGGTTGTGCAAGATCATGGGTCGATTGAAGTTACACATTAACACCATTGAATACAGCCTTAGGAGTCTAGAGATTAAGCGTTCAAGAGCGAGACCGGATGCCACATGCGGGATCGTGGATGCACACTGCTGAGGAGGAAGAAACGGCCGTTTAGTGCTTCCAGATTTTCAAAGTTGGTCCAACATCAATCGATTCATGATCTCAATCAAAAACTTAACAATTTCCACAACCCCATACTGATAAAAACTATTAAGAATTCGTACAAAGTGTTTTTATGGTAATTTGTTATGAAGCAATCTAGACCGCATTTGTATGTGAGTAAACAAACAGTTTATTGACATAAATAATTAGATTAATTCACTATGACATAAATGCTAATATCATCATGAGATTTGACGATAAAAATAACACAATAATGTATGATGAATAGCTAAAACGTCTAGAGGATTGTTAGGTGTCTGAATTCAGAAATAATGATGATAATTTGTGCAGTATCTAAAGTGCACACCCATGTATGTATGTAAAATGTATATGAGTATAATTGAATAATAAGTGAAATAATGGCGTGTACTGCGGTGACAAGAAATAAACACACATACACACATGGTTAATGAAGGAATGAACTTGATTAAAGAGATATGATTAGCTTTAGATACTGTTTCAGTCAATGAATAAATCATCTCGACTTTGTTACTGTGTTGTGTGTTGTGGTAGATATTTTAGACAATACACGTTATGATATAAACTGTTCAATAAATCTTGAAGTGAGGAATCTGTTTTGTCTGTCAATGTCAACTGGCTTTCAGTTTGTCTATTCAGGAAGTGTCTTTGCTGCCATCACTGGATAGTGTTTTTCTGACGAAATTGTTGGCGCAGTAATTTAGTTAGTGAGGGAAGTGTATTGGTGGTTGTTAACATTTAAAATATGACGTCTTAATTTTGCCCAAGTGTTGTTTGATAAATTGCACATGGTCAATTAAATCATGCAGAGCACTGGAGACTGAAGTCAAAGACTCCTCAAGTAATCCTAAATTGGTTTTGACAACCGATTCTGTTGTGCAACACCAATAATTCTCCTTATTGTCCATCTAATTTGTAGCATGACCATATGAAGTTTTACAACCCAATGATTGTTAGTCATTAGACTAGTGAAAGGATCATTAATTTGACGACTTGAGCATTACATCTTTCCAGTATAGGGGTTGTGGAGATTATTAAGTTTCTGATTGAGATCATGAATCGATTGATGTCAGACTACTATTGAAAACCTGGTAGCACTGAATGGCCGTTTCCTCCTCTTCAGCAGTGTGCATCCATTTAGTTGTAAGTGTTATTTATTGCCGTTTCGCCCTAGTCATAAACAGAGATTTTGGTTTACAGTATTAATTCATTTTGGTATTTCATTAGTGACCGTGTGTATTGTTATATCTTGAGTAATCTGTCGTACTAGGATCCACCACAAATGAATTTGACTATTATAAGGTTGAAATACGCTCCTAGATTGACTGGATTGCCTTTCTTTCATGAAAAGTAATTAATTTAATTTCTAACTATTTAATTACTAAGTGTATGATGGACTTACTAGTACAAACTTTGTTAAGTAATCCCTTAAATTTGTAGCTCAAGAAATCCTTTCACGGCAGGTTATTACTGATAGTTTTTGAACAGTAGATCTGAAGGGTTCAAGATCCGGGCTTTGACCAAGGAAGATGATGGGGACGTTGACATTGTGGCGCGTTTTCTCGCATTTGAAGATACCACAAGTATTTGGAGTTTGACACCACTTTAACCAGTAACACCTTCGATGATGGAAACGTGCCCACTCAGTGAAATCAGAAGTTAGAAGCAAAGAGGTTCGAAAATATATTTGATAGACTAGCAATATATCGAAAAGTGACTGATTTAAACTAGCTGGCGGTTGCAGGAGAAATTGAGCACGGCGTTCCCACTCGTGACTTGGTGCGAGCCCATGACCGAGAGCTTTCAGCTAGGTCAGTCTATTAAAACTAATTTGGTCAACATCGAATATTGAAGACTTAGGGAGGTACGGATTTTTGAGATATATGTACCGCTGCACACTCATCGGAAAAGAAGCCTGAAGCCTATTAAAATCTTTGGCATTTCCAAAAAAGCATATTTCACTCCTTTATGCAAGTGTCGAGGAACTTTAGAAAGTTTGATATATGCAAATCACGTTAGGACTAAACTTCCCGTTCGAAAAGCGCGCCAAAAATGACCTTGTGAAGCGTCACAAAGCGGTGTATTAAAACAGGAAACGAATCAATGACAATTAATGTCCTTTTATTGACAAATACAACTTGAAAGTCCATACGGACGCTTTTAATGCTAAAATGAGGAATTCAAATTACATAAGTAACACGTTTGTCAAATGGTTGCAGGTGACCTACCATCCCTAAAAACATTAAAGAAATAAACCCAACCCTTGTTCGGAACTCCGGCAGTCTAACTAACGACCAATCATAATGAAGTGGGAATTGTCATTTATGTCGTCTTTGTGAGCAACAGTAACTGGGTTGATTCTTTCTTTACTTTTCTTCTGGACTTTTGGTGTCGCTGCACAATTCGATTCGTTAGTGTTCTCGAATGTTGCAATCTATTTAGTGATTTAAGTGTTGGAGCTAACGTCGTTGAGTCGGTTTCGTTTTCTGGGTTTTTGCCACTGCTACTCAAATCAGTGTTGTTCTGAACTGCTTTATGTGATGAACCGTCAATCCGTTTCGTTCTGAGATATCGGACAACAGTGTATGTGTTGTTTTTTTATAGCTAAAATCAATATTGCTGCCGCCCTGGGATCTTTTAAGTGTCCGCATGTTAGTAATGCATACACGGACACATGTCTGTATATTCTTCACGAAAAGATTAAAAATGTGTACAGCATTACTGTCAAATGTCAGTTATTAATTTAGAGTCGCTGTAGGACGAAATAAGGTTGCCAATAGTTAAATAAAATAATAATGTTGATTAGGGCGTACGACGCTTCTCTTTTAAGGTCACAGAATCCCACGCTTATTGTAACCTGGATTTGACGCTATAATATATTAAAGGGAACGAAAAATTAGACGACTCTTGTTACCAAACCTATATTTGACTTGGATGGCCAACCAGATGTAGCCTAATGATGTCAGTCTATGGTAATTAAATGTGAGCTAAAAGAACATTGCATTTGATTGTATGATAAACGGGTTAATTCCTGAAGGCAAACCTGATCGTTATTCCGGCCCACAATACACATAGTCGACTTTACAATGTTAATTATACTTTCACTAGATCGGCATTGTAATTCATTTTTGAATCTTCATCTCATGCTAAAGTGCATCATCTTTAGAAAATGTCAAACTAAAATAATGTGAGAACAGAATGCAAATTTAAAGCATAGTATTGAAAAAGATGCACGAGAAATGGTTATAAGACTTTGATTTTGTCTTCACTTCTAACATTGAAGCGCATTTTTGACGGAAGAAATTTCCATACAATCTTTAATAGTTTTATCCGTCTTCATTTAGGGTACGGAAACATAGTATTTCCACCCTCACTCCAAAAGGATAAGGATACCCCGGAACGTATCCAACGGCGATCCACGAAATCAGTTCGAGGACTCAAATCTAAACCTTACGAAGAGCGCCTCCATTCATTTAACCTTTACCCGTTACAGTATAGGAGTCTTAGAGGTGACCTTCTGATGGCTTATAGTATCCTTACCGCTTCTGGACATCCTTTCAAACACCTATTTAAGCTTAGTTCCAACACTAAACTAAGAGGTAACACCCAGAAACTGGAGATACAACATGGCAGAACGGACT